TTAATTTGTAATTTTCGTTTGGCTTAACAGAGTCTATATAAGAGGTAAGATAAAGCCGGATAGTCTTAATGGCCTAGTGTCAACGAAATCCTTTTAGAATAATGACAAAGAGGAAGTCCCGTTGACTGCGTCAACATGAATATCGTCTTACATCTCAAATCTATTCAAATGCCTGATGACAGTGATGGCCGTATGGTGGCGTGATTATGTCGTTACTTGACACGACCAATCCCTGGTTCAAATCCCGCTTGAAGATGATGCGAGGTTATTCGGAATGGGAAGACCTTTTTGAGAGGAATTTAGTAGGTGAGGGGTATGGAACTTTAAGCTATCAGTCCTATATCGCCTCAAATTAACTCGTGTGAATCGATTTCCTATTAAAGCTCTTATGATAGTTACGAACTCCACCCATTCGGTATACGACGCAAAAGTCAGTCAACTTAACTACCAAAACTTTGTTCTTGGAATAATCCTAAAGACGGAAACCACCCTTGATTGTTTGTTGTTATGCTGCCTATCTTGGTGTATCTTGGCGATTCTCGAGATAACCAAAAGTTTAAAATTGGGCTATTCTTCCTTATTTCCTCTGATAGACGATGGATATGACAAATATCAACTGGTCTCACGTATTTTCAGCTTCGTGTCAGAACAACCGGGTAGCATGCTTGCATCTTTCTTATTATACACGTACCCTAGTGATTCGAATGGCCATTTGTGCACACATGAAAGAAGCCTCATCTCCTTGTCAGCACAGACTTTTCGAAGTTAGGTTGGGTCGTGGCAATCGCGAATCCTGTGCATAAGGTACTCTAAGTTTTCCGCACAGATTATTATCAGATAAGACCAAATGTGAAATTATTCATACAGAGATAATTTTTAACTGCATGTGACACCGTCCTTACAATGCTTTTGACCTTCTAGCCTCGGTATGGATGGCAATAGCCTTAACTGATAGAGATGGTGACCAAAAAGGTGGGCCTTCTTTTTGATCTCGTTCCTTTTTTACTGAATTATGCTGGTTTGACTGTACTTTCGTAATCCCATATTTCGTTTCACGGGTAGACCCTCAAGACTACCAGTATGATCGATTTAAGAGCCATATTCATCCTATTTTATTTAGAGTTTTGATCTCTTTGTAGTCTCGAAAACCTACATATAGATAGACAAATACGTGATGTTGTCGAGTTCTATAAAAATAAAACTTTGCTTAATCAACAATCGCACCACAGCATATGATGCAAAAGAGGGCCTAGCCAACCTTGAAATGCACATCTTCCAGTCTGGCGTATTGGTTAACGAGTCGAAACTGTATGCTGCCCTACAATAACCTGGGTTTGAGTCCCGCTGGGGGTGCTGATGAGACCAGTTCAGGCGAAATCGAAACTGCGGTTCACTCGTGCCCAGATGACAACATATTTTGGCAAGCAAGGCTTTGTGAAATGCAATGAAAACACGAGGCCTTCTCATATGATAGTGGGAAAATTCAACTGTCAGTCTTTCATCACCTTGAACGAAATAGAGTGAATATAGCTAGTACTTTGACTTCACATAAGGTAGCACAATGCGTCCTCTACCATTGTCGTGATGCCCTCTTTTCTTCACTGTCGGACCATCGTCCTTGAACAGTCTAAGAGGCTTCTGCAGTATTGTGGTCAGCATCATCAGGGAGGATTGTATTCCTTGTTCCTAGGCTAAACTTTCGAAGATCTTGTGTGAAAACTCGAGAAGGCCTATGCTGGCTAAAGTGAAATAAAGGCTGAGAGTTGACTCTACAAAAATGAAGGAATAGAAAGCATCTCGACGCCGTTTGACCTAACGTATCCATGCACTTTCCATCTCGCTTTGGTTTCATCAGAACCCAAACACGGTCGCAAACCCATAGGTGCTGATAAACCCCAGGACAGACGCTACTTCAAGGCAATTCAGGCATCTGCAAATTCGCAGGATTTTAGCGACCTTCCGTGGCCTTAATGTCGGAACGACTAGGCTTCAAACCCGAAATCGCTAAAAAACAATGCGACGTTCCTACATTTTCGGACTAAAACGAAATGTCTTAGTCTGTTGTTAGGTCGGGCTCGCCTTGCCAACGATCTTCAAGAATCGTCTGATCCATTGCTGTAATCAGACGTGGCAGCAATAGCAAAGAAAGCATTCAGAGATAAGCTCTTCGATAAGACCAAAATGCCTAAGCTATTCTTTACACACCACAAAGTACAGTTGTGCTTCAGCAGATATTGAAATCCCATTGGACAGTTTTGATTTATGCACGCGACTCGGTTGTGTGTTTTGTTGGGGTTACTGGTGGGAGGGTGGAGCAAGAGAGAAACTGTGAGTGATGTAGAATGAAAAACTCTTTTAAGAGGCAAGATTAAGTGAACTTCATTGACTTCGTGGAGCCTGCTCATTAAGTTGTGGAAAGATTCGACTATCTGCCCTTTAGATCATCTTTTAGCCCCCCCCCTTTTAGCCTATCGAGTGTCACTTTTTCGTCTTGGGCCCCAAGATTGACAGGTTCAGCTTTGTGTCTAAGAGGTTTTCGGATTGCGTCTATTCTCTTGACTCCACCCAGGTTATCCTTATCCGTTGGCAGCGTGGTGCTGATCAATACTTGTCATGGCGACGGCTGTGACTTCATTGGGTCCACGCCGGTGACCCGGCCGTCGGGTGGATTTACTCGGTCCATCTGACAACAAGCGTTTATGCGGTTGCCAAAATTCATCTTTTGATGAGACGAGTGATTTTGTCCAACGCTTTGATGATACATTCTCTCACTTGGCCCTTATGGCGTCTGGCGGCCTGACTCAGCCTTGATGACCTATCGTGTGGAAATGGGCCTCCTTACTCGGACCGTTCGATCCGACTGATCTGAGAGGGATGTATGAAACTGGCATAAAGGATAGGCATCGGTGATGGCCGGCAACATTATCTGCCATGTCGGACTTTTGATGCGACAGGCTCCGGCCCTTTTCACCCGATCTTACAGCCTCACTTTGCCAGGTTTTTGAGGCAGACAATAGAGGGTGGCTGAGACCCGGATGAAGAACTCATGAGTTCTGACGGCCGCTCCGGTCATTTGAGATATCCGAATCATGATTGGCTTGAGGCGAACTTGTCCGCAATTGTTAGCACTGACCTCGACACTCGGTCGACCGGATACTGTGTCCTTAACTCGTAGTCTTGGGAGGAAATGAATCGGCGATTTATCGCAGATATTGATGATGGCCATGAGTCTGTCGCCTAAACTACGACCGGGCGTCTTTCGACAGGTATACTTAATCTGTCCAACGAATCATCCAAATAGTCTATTGCATGGCTGCAGTGGCGAAGTTCAATCTGTTCATTAATGTAATCCTAGATTCGTTTTACTGGGCGCCTAAAGTGACGGCGCTGAATTTAGAAATGGACAGTTGGCGTGTAAATACGAAGAGTAGCTGGCTTGCATTGAATGCGATTTAAATAGTCTTATCGTTACCTATTCTAAGCATTCTCGTAATAGTGATGCATTTATTTAGGCATAAAAAGAATAAAAAATTTACTTTTCGTTTTTAAAAAGAATTTCAACACTACCTTTCTTCATCACCTTAGACGAAATAGGCTGAATAAATCTCATATAGTAAAAAATTAAATTGTTTGAAGTAGTTCAAAGACTCTCAATGGAAATTTTCATCAATGATATAAGTAGATCACACAATCCCATTGAACTTCACTCAGCCTTGACTCCCGAAAAGGTTCTCCATGCAGGAAAGACTGCAGTTTAAAGCTCGCCCTGGTCTTATCGGTATCCCCAAATGGATTTAAAATCGGGTAAAGGACATATCGGCGACTTGTTATCATTAGTAAGCTCACTTCCCTTTACAGTGAAAGTGTGTCGGTGGATTTCTCTTTGCCGACTGTCTGTTGACTTTGCTGGAACCGAAGTCGGATGCTGTGTGTTCTGTTCTAATTTATCTTAGCTGTCATGAAGGCACATAAGCAAGCACACACGTACACACAACCACATACTTTTCGATTGACATATGACTAAAACTAGGCAAAATAACTTTGTCCCACATTTAAATACATAGATTTTGGGTAAATGTATAGCATATGGGGATAAGCTGGTGAGTTTTCTTGACTCGTTAGCTTGAATATGTTTGTAAGAAGAATGCCTGATTTGACGGAAGTATCGAAGAAGTTTGCCTGTGAAACAACATCATCAAGAATGTTCTAGTAAAGCCAAAAAAGAGCTGGTTTAAGGGAATTCACCGTCGTCTTCTATTGGGATATATCATTAAATCTCTTCATCAAAAACACGTCCATTCAAACTGTAAGTGAGCCCAACACTTATAACCCACGAGATTCATCGAGGCTCAAAGTTTCTTTGCATATATTTATTGACAAACCACTACACAACTACATGTGACAGTGGGTAACAGAACAGATTCAGCTTAGATCACCAAAAGTGACCTAATTTGACCAAAACTCACATGCAAGAATTACCCAACACCTCGAAGCCTACTCAAAAGGAAAATAAGTAACTTCGTCTGTTGTAATAGCAAATGTATGTTTGTCTAACTGGCAAGATAAATATAAATGTAATTTAGAAGAGCTTCGACTTGTTCTGAAAGTGACATCTACCTTGTGACCGACCGGCACCCGTGGATGTGTGTAGCGGATTGATAATGATATGCTGAGATGCTCTTTACCCAATTCGGAATCCTGTTAGGGATACCAACCAGACATAGGCGAGTTAGAAATCGCCGTGCTTGCAAAGTGAGGAATCTCCCTGGGAGGCAAAGCTAAGTGAAATTCACTTGCATAGTGAGGATTACTTATTTCGTTGTGGAAAATACTTAACCATCAGCCCTTAAGCCACGTTAAGCAACCTAAAGTTACTAATGTTCTAATGCAAGAATTGCAGATCTCTTCGAGACATTCTCGCTGTAATAAGATAAAGCAATCTGGGCGAACTGGGACAAACGTTACACTCTATCATAGTTACTCGACGCGGCAAATGAGGTTGCGTATCTGCACACACATATACACACAGACATGCATGAACATCATTTGTTCAAATGATTCTGCACTTTCCTAAATTAACATATTGAGTAGCAGGTGGGGATGAGTCGGGTGCATTTTCTTGACTTTTCGAGGCTTGAGGTAGTTCCGGCTCTAATGATGTCTCAAGTGACAGATTTACACACAGCACCTTTTAGCTATAAGCAAAGGGGGTTGTTGACGAAGCCGTCCCAAGTAAGTAAACCAGCAGACCAAGCGAATCCCGCCATAGTATTAGAGTAAGATTGACCTGCAATACGCGTATTCAAACACCATAACACAAAATGAAAGCTGACTTAATCAGTTTGTGGTCCGTCCGACAAGCGGATAGCGATGGGTGCACAAAAATGCTGCTCACAGGTTTTAGAAGGGTTTTAGTCGGTAAATATGCTTATCAATTACGTCTATTAGGCAATGGTCTTCCATTGATGACCAGGGATGGAAGATACTAGGCCCAAGTCAGCTAAAGATGCATGCAAGAGAACAATTTTTATATAGACAGTCGCTATTTACTTTTGAATTCTATCCAATACCAGGCTCATTGGGGTACCATTTGGCGTCGTTCCAGAGACATTTTAATAAGAAGAAAAGTGAAGATTTCCCTCGGCAGAAAGTTATATGATCAAATGACGAAAGCTCCACTCTGTGTAATATCGCTTAAATGGTATTTCTACCTTAAACGATCAC